CATTCGCTGCTTACGCCGAATCCAGCAGAATCTGTCCCGAATTTGAAGTCGTTGTTTCCGTCGAATCGTCCCGCAAAGCGGTGCTTCCGCCAAATCCGCCCCCTCCTTCGTCTGTTCCAATCAAAAATCTTACCAGCTGACTCCGATTTGCAACCTCCGTCTATTCCGCACAACTCTGTTGTTTTGCATGGCTTTTTCTCACAAGAATTTACAACTTAACAAGTATGCTTGGTATCGCTAGGTACATGCTCAGTACCGCTAAGTAAATGCTCAGTATCTCTATGTATATGCTGGATACCGCTCGGTACCGCTATGTACTTGCTCGGTACCGCTATGTACACGCTCGGTACCACTTGGTACATGCTCAATACCGCTGTGTAAATGCTCGGTACCGCTCGGTACACGCTCGGTACCGCTAGGTACATGCTCAATACCGCTTGGTACCGCTCGGTACATGCTCGGTACAGCTCGGTACATGCTCGATACAGCTCGGTACATGCTCGGTACCGCTCGGTACAACTAGGTACACACTCAGTACCGCTCGGTCGAGAACCCCGCCAGGGGGCAGCGCCCCCTTGGACCCCCAGCAGCCTGCATATTATGTTTCTTGGACAATATTATGAAAAGATCTAAAGGAAAAGAGAATGAATCTTCAATTAGGAATGATGTTGCTATTGAAAATAATGATGAGTCATGTGATGAAGAGGATTATGAAGTAGGAGACAATGTTGATGAAGATAATGAAGCTTTTTTAACATTTGCTGATGATGATAATTCCCAAGAAGAGTAGATTAAATTTTTATTTGGTCTTTAAAAAAAAAAGATTATGATATTTGAATTATGAGATATTTGGATGTTACTTAGTCGAACTTATATATGTTATGGTTGTCTTTCATTTTTAATAATATTCCGTATCCATGCTTATTATTTTATAATTTTTATATAGTTTGCGCCATGTTCAAAATGGCGCGCGCCGCGCTGTGCGCTATGCGTCATAGCTCTAAAGGGACCTTTGCGCCATGGTGCGCCATTCGCCGTTAACAGGAATGGTGCTGATTAATTCTCGTTGTTAGATTAAAGATTGTATTGAAACTACTATTTCGGCATAAAGTGATTTACTAATTTATTTCTAAAGTTTTTTCAATTATCTGGTTATGTGATTTAGCCTAAGCAGGTGTAACCCGTTTCTTGTTTTATTCGTTGTTTTAGGATGCTAGTGGTTTCTTCATTTTATTTCTAATAAAGAGTTGTGCAAATTCCTAATGAATTGATTGCATTCATACGTAGTCCTGCATCATATGGCTAGGATTAACAGAGATTGGCGTGATCCAGATGAGCCTCTCACAGATTCTCATCCTGGTAGTGGGATCAAGTGTCAAGGAATAGTTGGGATTTTAACAATTTATTGTATACTTTGCTTCACTATTTATATCAATGATAATTTAAATTTATATATTACATTATAAGTTACATATAATTGCTATGTTTAATAAATTATATATATTATATAACATTATAAATAGATGCAATATATTTAAAAGCTATTGTGCACCATGAAAATAATTAGTGTAAAAATATATTTAGCATTATACAATTTTATTTATTTCATAATATAATTTCTATACATATGCATTTCTTAAAAATAAGCTACTATGAAGTGTTCGCTAAATAATTGGACTACAGTAAAGAGGTCTGACCATTTTATTACATAAGTTATACAAGTAAGGAAATGCCGACTCTAAGTACTAGAATACCCAAAAAAAACTTGGAATTAGCAAGAAAGATGCTCCAAGCAATTCCCACTTAGGGCAGATTACTTACTAAAAGAATTCCCAATTAGGGTTTAACGAAAATTATAAAGGCTAATTTAAACTTGGTCAATTGAGAAATAGTAAATAATTTAGAATTAAAGGGTAAAGACCAATATTTATTAAGTACATATCATTGCTTCCCCTAATAGGACAAAGAGCACCACAATTGAATAAGACTAACGTGCATGTTAATTAAAATTGTGCCACATGTCACCTCAGTTGTTATAACAAGCAGCAACAACAACAACATCGAGCATTTATCTCACTGCGTGGGGTCAACTACATGAATCATTTTTCTCCATTGTGTCATGTAAAGAGTCAAATTCTCATTTAGATTTAATAAAGAAATGTCGTTTCTAATATTCTCTAACCAAGTATTTTTAGGTCTACCTCTACCTTTCCTAACATAGGTCAAATCTAATACATCTACTCTCCTAACCGGGTCATTGGTAGGCCGCCGTTTTATGTGGCCAAGCCATCTAAGGCGAATTTCTCTAATCTTATATGCCACTGGAGCTACTCCAACCTTGATCGATCAAAGTCACAAAACCCAACTACATCTATTACTACACAAATCTCACTCATACCCCCTTGTCATTTATACAGAAAAATAACATTTGGGGGTTAAAGAAAATGGCAGCTATATTTGATCAGAATTGGGTGTGGAAGACATATGAAACTTGTAGTACTTATTTAAGACAGATTTTAAACTTTCTAATTGAGCAAATTTAAGGATGATAGTTTTTCCCTTGATTCTTTTGGCCCGATTAGTGAATAAATTCATTTGGTGGGTAAAAAAAAGGAGAGAAGCAGCCAAGCTTAGTTTTCCACCATAGACTTGTAGTAACCGACGGCTAGTTTATTATTCAAGGTTAGTTTTGCAATTTTATTATTCAAGGTTAGATTTACAAAAGTTCTGAGAGCATTATCATGCATATTCTTCATATCATGTCATCAACTTGGAACTCTAATGATTTATTTCACATCCTTCAACACATCTAATTCATGGACTTGTAACAAGAAAAACAAAAAAAAGTGGATTGGAATTGCAGATGGGAATATTAACTTTAGTAGAACTCGTTATTGATGCTGTAATTGAGATTGTGAAGTTGCTATCAAAGTCACAACTATAAATCATATGTTAAAGGCAGCGTTAAAGCAATATCATATGAACTGTTCTATATAGAAAAGATAATAGCATGATCTATAGAGGAGGAAAGAAAGATCAACTTCAACTTGCATTACAATAATTCAAGGCCTACATAGTTTAAACCTTAAATTTAAACATGTATGTTCCACATAAAACAACAAACCTTTATCCTACTACGTGGTGCCGGCTACATGAATCCTTTTTCTCCATTGTCTCCTATTAAAAGTTAAATTCTCATTTAAATCTAATAAAAAAATGTCCTTTTTAATACTTTTAACAAAGTCTTTTTAGGTCTACCTCTACCCCTACCTTTTTTAACATTGGTCGAATATAATACATCTACTCTCCTAATAGGGTCATTGGAAGGCCAAAGTTTTATGTGGCCAAACTATCTAAGGAAACCTCTCTAATCTTTTTCTTCCACAAGAGCTACTCCAATCTTTTCATGCTTATACTCATTTCGCATTCTTCTCACAAAGCCACTCATCCACCTGAGCATCCCCATCTCTGCAACACTTAATTTTATACCTCACTTCTAACATCCCCTATGCCATTAAGTATTGCAGGTCTCACCACCATCTTATAAAATTTTCTCTTAAGTTTGAATAGTACTTTTCTATTGCATAACAAGCCCAATGCATTCCTTCATTTCAACCATCCAACATCAATTATCTAATAATATATCCATCTATTTAACCATCGCTTTGACCAATAGACCCAAGATATCTAAAATGTGCACTCTTTTTTTATGGCTTGATCGTCCAATGTCACTATCCCACCACTAGATCAATTACTACAAAAATTACACTCCATGTATTCGATTTTAAATCTACTCAAACAAAAACATTTATACTCTAAGATTGACATCAATAATTCAAGTTTTTCAACAACTCCATCTCTAATCTTATCAACAAGAAGGATGTCATCAACAAAAAGCATACACCAAGGTACAAGGTACATCCTCTTGCAAATGTCTAGTAAGAGCATCCATGACCAAAGCATAAAGATATGGGTTTAAAGGTAATCCTTGATGTAATCCAACTGAAATAGGAAAATATTTGATCAAACCGCCTAACTTTTTAACATAAGTAATAGCTCTTTTATATATCCTTAATCACTAGAATATAAGCATAATAAACTCTTTTCTTTTTTAGAACTCTCCAGATCAAATCTGTTAGAACTTTATCATATGTTTTCTCTAAATCAATAAAATATCATACGATGATCCTCCTTACTTTCTCATAATTCTCTATCAAACCTCTCAACAATTGCATAGCTTCCAAAGTAGACCTACATGGCATGAATCCAAACAAATTTTGAGAAACAATAGCAACAAGTGTATGGTCCACATAATAAATGACCAAAATGATCAATAAACTTTTTAAATGTATTCATTTTAATCTTAGACTGTTTGAAGTGTTCAATTTAGCTCCTCAATTGATCAAATTTGAACCAATTTAATTATAACATAAAATTTATCATTTCTTAGGATGAAATTTGATGGAGGAATGCTTTCTATGAGGGTATTTTGGACTTCATGTGATCAATTACATTACTTTGACTAAATATTAAATAGTGAGATTACCTTTAAACATTCAAAATGTCTGCATGGAAAGCTTCTCTCAACTAATTTCCATCCAAGGAAATGGCAAAGTTGACAATAGGAGCAATTTGGTTCATATGTGATCAGTTGAGGTACTAAATTGAATACATTTGAAAATCTGGGACTAAAATAGGCACACCTGAAAAGTCTAGAGCCATTTAATCTTTTACACAAGATCCAAGTATATAAATCTACAAGATCCACATATATAAATCTCCATGAACCAAGACAAAAAAAAACCTTATCGTACAAGACATCTGCATTAGTTCTTAGAAAGGTCCTATGTACAATTAACTGCACTTCAAGCCATATAAAAAGGTAATATACCACATAATCATAAGCAACAGAATAGTGAAATATAAATAAACTGAATAAGTGAAGTATGTTGGAGAAATTCATGAGATCTTGTACAAGATAAAACAATCCTTCAAGATACCTTGGATCGGATGAAGTAGATACGTTCTCCTTTGGAGTCTTTATACTTTCCTAAAGAAAAATCAAAGCAATGTATAAGAATTAGCTAAATTAGATCAAGTACTTAATGACCGGTAAAATCAAGTAACTTGATTTCTATACTTTTATTTCCTAAGGAATGCATTACATATCTTTGACCAAGTAAAGCATCTAAAACTTTCTAAGGTGGAAAGAGAAAGAAATGAATAGGAAAAAAAAACTATAGATAAATCAGACTTCCATCAAAGAGAAAAGGAATTTTCTACTCCTCTACCACTACATTTCAATCTTCACAAAATGATGAATATTGTTCTACCTCAAAAAGTTAGTATAATGAGTGAACAAGGTAATAGAACGGTTCCGCAAATTGGATTAGGCATTGAAATAGAAAAAGGGAAGTTTGAGGTTTGATGGTTCACCCGAAATTTAACCCAGAGTCGAACCTTGATAAAGTTATTTACTTATTACTTAAATAAAATAATAATGATACAGATATGTAATAAAAATAAATAAATTATTTTTTAAATATAGATTACACACGTGAAATAATTTATACAATTTTAAATTCAAGCAACATCTATCATTAACTAACTAACATCTTATTTTGTAGTCATAATTGAAATTTAAATAACCAACGCAAAAAGCTAACAATTAAATAAGAATGGTAACCTTCTCAACGCCTGATAGACTAAGAAAAACATACCCCGACAACTTATAGTCAATCAAAACCAAGTCTACCTCCTTGCAATTGATTCATGGCCACTACCCTCCAATGCCTCCATAACTGTCGTGAACATCCATACTGCCCTATAGGCCACTCAATTGCTAACATCTAATCACTCCTCATTGAGGCCACTCAATTGCTAACATCTAATCACTCCTCATTGGCGCCTCCACAACGATGAGTAAATATCCATCCTACCGTACCTACTTCTCAACAACTTCCACATGGCCACCACTCTCTAACATCTTGGCAATGGCCATAAACAACAAGTCCTCTCTATCATCAGCCAACCTGATCACAGCAGGAAGATGTACAAGTGATAATGGACTTACGGAAGAGCATTGGAGCTCTGCGTGATGTGTGCTCCTATGTTCCTTATTCATGCCCCTTTTAATAATAGAGTGAATTTTTGGCCTTTTAAGACCCTAATGACCTCTACGAATAACAATAGGAGAAAAATCACCCAAATACAAAGTGCTCCAAGTGCACGAATTGACTTAGCGACCAAATAAGAAAAGAAGCCTTCGCCATTTTGTGACTGTTCATTTAATTCCTCTTCCCTCTTTCTCTTCATCTTCTTTATAATCCCTAATCTCCAAAGCAACTATTCTGAACAAAATTTTATGAATAATTCTATAAGGCACTAATCTCAATCTCAACACGCAGTTTGAAAGTTCGATGGACTCGACGGAGCCTAAACAGCATAGCTTAAGCACTTCATGGTTTCATTTGGAGCAGCTCATACTTTCCCTGTTTTTATAGTCAAACTTTTTTTAAAGTCATTTGTAAACCACAGTTTTAATTCTGTTTTTCAAAAAAAAATAACTTTTATAAAGTAATTTTTTAGAAGAATCAAGAAAATTATTGTTTCCCGTTTATTTTACTGCCCAAAGGCAGTTAACAAGATGTTCTTAACAAAACCGGAAAAAAAAAAACGGTCCTTCAAACCAAAACCTATAAAAAAACGAACCTTCCTTCTCTTTGTGGGATCGGTACCAAATCCACGATTTTTGGCAAAGCAGATATGTCTGAAAGTCTTCAACATTTCTCGGTTATTGCCTTTCCTCGTACAAGTTACTGGTAAATAGGCCTGCAACAACGAATTGATTTACTGGAAAAGGAATTAAAAAGAATGGGAAACAAGAAAAATCCCTACTGAAGTTTTGAAATAAGCAAGTGGAGATCTCCATTACCGCCGTGGGCACGCAACAATCCATGCGCGGAGAAGAGCGGAGAACTTGGCT